TTGTAGCGAGGTGGGGGTTGGTCTCTTCTCCCAAGTAACAAGCGATAGGACGAGAGGAAATGGCCTCAAGTTGCACAAGGGGAGGTTTAGATTGGACATTAGCAAAAACTTCTTTACTGAGAGAGTGGTCAGGCCTTGGAACAGGCTGCCCAGGGAAGTGGTGGAGTCACTATCCCTGGAGGTATTTAAAAGACGTGTAGATGAGGCACTTAGGGACATGGTTTAGTGGGCATGGTGGTGTTCAGTTAATGGTTGGACTCGAGGATCTTAGAGGTCTTTTCCAACCCTAATGATTCTATGTAGTTTTTCTGGATTTTAGTAAGGCTTTTGATGCTGCCCCTCACAGCATCCTTCTGGACAAGTTGTCCAACTGTGGGATGAGCAGGTATGCAGTATGCTGGGTGAAGAACTGGCTGAAGGGCAGGGCTCAAAGTGTTGTAGTGAATGGGGCTACATCTGGCTGGCAACTGGTCACCAGCGGTGTTCCTTAGGTCTCAGTCCTAGGGCCAGTTCTGTTTATCAACGATCTGGATGCAGGAGTTGAATGCACCATTAGCAAGTTTGCTGATGATACCAAACTGGAAGGTGCTGTTGACTCTCTTGAGGGGCAAGATGCCTTGCAGAGGGATCTAGATAGACGAGAGCATTGCGCAATGATTAATGGGATGAAATTTAACAAGCTGAAATGCCGGATTCTGCACCTAGGACAGAATAACGCCAACCACAAATATAAATTGGGAGAGCAGTGGCTGGAGACCAGCCCTGCAGAAAGGAATCATACATTTTCTAATACAGATGGGGTTTGACATACCTCCTCCAAGAGAGCTCAGTGCTCATGAGTGGAGTGGAACTTGATGCAAGCCCAGCTACCGCAATGTGAATGCATGGTGTGTATGTGATAGACTGTGTGCTGGGAGCTTCACAGGCAAATAGGAAGGTGCTCTTCTTTTCCCCAGAAAACTTGCAACCCAGCTCCTAGACAAAATATCATGAGAAAAGGAAATGTGGGAGCTTGGCGTAACTGGATTACAAGAGAAATGCTTCCTGTGCTTAGTCTCATCCATGACTAAGCGGGAGGGAGCCATGCAGAAGCACGAAGCTAGCCGGCCTGCAGTGAGCTCTCCGCTCTGGGTGGAAAGAGGGTGGGGGGGTCCATGAGCCCCCAGCCAGGTGGTTACTGCAGCATGATCTACCTAATGACGCACCTTGCATTCTGTGTCCTTCTCAGCGCTTGTTGTGGCTGTCCTGCGCTTCATTCAGCTGAAGCCGAAGCTGCTAAACCCTTGGCTGAACATCAGCGGCCTGGTGGCTTTATGCTTGGCCTCTTTTGGGATGACCCTACTCGGCAACTTTCAGGTACTGCACTTCAGGCTCGGACCGCTGTGTCTGTGCTGTGAGGTTCCTGCTTTTCTAGCAGATCTGCTTAGGCCTTTGAACTATCTGTGATGTGAGCTTGGGAGATAACATGTCTGGCTGTGCCCCAGCCCTCCTTGTACCTGCTCTGCCACCTCTATCTCCCACTTACGTGGCTCTAATGACATGCTGAGATGAAGGGCCACAATAATTTTTCACCTATTCCCAGCCGAATTTGCACCTGCATGCTTACACTTGACCTGCCGAGAGCCAGAGCAGGGAACCTATTGAATCTCTTGAGCCCTGTGGGCTGGCACAGATGGTCCTGGGTAAAAAGATTGAGCTGGAAGTTTACGTATGCATCTGTGCAAACAGATGAACAGCTGCCCATACAGATCTAGCAGACAGTTCAGTGTCCTTCGTTTAAAACATATGTTGTTTAAATCTACCTCCTGCTTGTCCTCAGACTGGCCACAAGAGGGACATGGCAGAGGAGTGCTACGACTTACCCTAATGTGACGGATGCCTGGATGAGGTCCCTCCGATTCTTGATCTGTTCTGCAATATCATACAAACAAACAAACAAGCTGTCAGTGCCACAACGTTGCTCTGTAGGATTGGGTGTCCACTGTGAACATGAGTGTGTCTGTTAGGTCTGCAGTGAAAATCAAGGCATTAGAGTCATTGGCACTTGGGTTTCCCCATCCCTTTGCTGTCTCTGATGCTCTGCCTCTCACTAGGGTGCAAGTAATGACCCCCAATAATGGCAGGAATTGAGAAATGTCAGTGTAGGCTGGCTTCTTTCCTGGCTTTGCAGGCAGGGAGCTGTTTTTCCTGCCAAAACAGAAAAGGTACTTGTTTTGTGAAGGGTGAGTACCCGTTTGGCTTGTGGAGCAATTGCAGGAACTTCATGTTCTTTACAGTAATCTTTTTTTTTCCTTTTTTTTTTTTTTTTTTTCTTTTTCCATGAATGAGGTGTGAGATAATGTTACTGTTTTGGACCTGGTCTTCCTAACTCCACAGCACAAGCTAAAAACTTGGAGTCTTGTTTTTTCATGAGAGCTTCCCAGCTAGGAACTATGAGGCTTTTGTAACAGCCTTGTCTAAGTGTGAGAAGAGTATTTCTAGTACAGGGCAGGCACTAGGAAGCAATTTCAACCTCTCCTTCCTTTTTTTGCTCCTCAGAGCAAATGATTGTTATTTAAAAGTGGATACTTTGAATCATGCCTGGTTATAAATTCTGAACTAATTATCCACTCCCTGTTAGTTACCTGTGTCCTTCCTTAGATCTTTTGCCAAACCATGAAAGTATATGGTAATGAGACCTTAGTCCATGCTTTTCCCTGCCTGACTGCTAAGCTGAATGTGGCATTAAATCATATTTCTGGAAAATTACAGATTGGGTGTGTTAGAGGGACATTATGGCTGTGAGTCCCTTGCAGTGTAGGCTACCTTGGGAAAGGCAGCTTGATCCCATTTTTTGCCTCTACTATGATTTCGACCTACCCTTGAAAAAAAATTCAAGGTAGGGAGGAGAGGGGAGAGATCAGTGGAGGCTCAGTAACTAGATTATGTCTTGTTGGATGGGAATTTGTTAAATCACCGAACAGGAATCAAGGCTGCAGGGAGGAATTACAGACTGCTGGTTTCTTTTCTAGAAAAGCCTCAGAGGCAGAGGGAAAAGGGAAACTGTTTGGCGTAAGTCTTGTCCGTGCTGAGCTTTCTGAATGGATTTGCAGCCTCAAGGGATCTCTTTGCAGATTCTTACTCATTGAACCTGGCTGTCCTTTTTCCTTGCAGTATTGCACAGTCACTGAGACTCGTGACACAGAAGCCCAAGGAACAGAGAAGCACTTGCACTCCAGAGAAGTTGTGTTCATATTGCCTCAGACCCCATTGGTCGAGGATGGGCAGGAGAGGGAACAGGCAGTCAAGCTTTATGGTGGAAGAAACTTGTCAAACCAGGAGCATGCGTCTGTGTTTTGGCTTGTGCTAGCTCAATGGAGGTGTCAGGGCTCTGGCTACCCTCTGCCCCAGGCAGCACTGCTCCATGCAACTGGCACTGAAGGTTGCACAGTTTGCCTCCATTGCAGGGACTGTACAAGACCCCAGTGGGTTGTCCTTGCCTGCTCTGGCCATCACATCAAGCCAGGGAAGGATTTACTTCTGAGCTCTGCATTGATGAGTCTTGTCAGGGAGCTGTGGAGGCAGTCCCCAAGCAACTGCATTTTCCACCATGCTTGGGCTTTGGGCAGAAGATCTGCTTGACTGTGACAGCTGTCAACTCATCTTGGTTATGTTACACCTTACACCTCTGCCAGAAGAAATGATGCAGCATCTCTGTCTCACACCCCAGTGATTCCCACTGTCCTCTATCCCACGCCAGCAGCAATCCAAGGTAGCTAGCAGACAATTCCTGTTGTGTCCAAACAATCACCGTTTTGTTTGTTCCTAGCTTTCCAACGATGAGGAGATCCACAATGTGGGCACGTCGCTGACCTTTGGCTTTGGGACCTTGGCGTGCTGGATCCAGTCTGCCCTCACCCTCAAGATCAACCTGAAGAATGAGGGACGGAAAGTTGGGATTCCACGAGTCGCCCTGTCGGCCAGCATCACCCTCTGCGTAGTGCTCTGTATCCTTTTGTCCTGCTCCCTGGGAAGCCAGGTATCATATGTGTGCGACACTCTCTGCAGCAGGGAACACTGGCTTTTCTCACATCCGTCCTAGGATCTCAAAGCGTTTAGGAATGCTGCTCAGCTTTTCTTCATGGCATGATCCTATGATTGGCTCATTTTGCTACTTGTTTTACCAGGATGCACTGCTTCACAGATGGGCTCACTTCCTTCATAAGTGTTTCTAAAACTTCTTAGTGATATCCGAAGTGGTTACAATATTTTATAGTATCTGTGCGATTTAATGGCACTACTGCTTACCTTACGCAGTAGCATTTAAGATTATGCAAAATATTGAGATAAAAATTCTCAGGAGAACAAATGAACAAGGGAAGAAATAAGGTTTCTGAAGATGAGAAGATTTTGATGTGTTTTGTTGACATGCTCCAGGGTGCTACATCCAGCTCTGCCTTTTAAGATGGTTATCACAGTCAAGAGCTGCTGGGTCTTGAGGACTTTGGACTAGGTGCTTTACAAATGGGATTTGGGCTGTGGGGTCTGTGGTCACTCATGTATGTACATGTGGCTTCCTCCCCACCTTCTGCCTGTCAGCCCCACTCCAGCCCTTCTGTTTGCACCAGCACTCACGTGCCCTGGGTGCTTGTTTAGGGTGGATCCATTCACTGCATAGTTGCAGCAACGTTAGTGCTGGGATAAGCAAGAGGGCAGGAATAAATGGTGAGGAATAAACTAATCCCCCTCTTCAGGGAACAGCCTGTTCTTAAAACAATTCCTTAGCCATTTGGCTGGTTTTGAACATTTCAGCCAGTGTCCAGAGGAATAGCAGATTGGTGTGAAGATGTACCGACAGTCGCCTCTTAAGCTTCCTTGGAAAAATTTCTAGCTGAGCATCATGCTTTGGTGTACGTAACATAGGAGTTTGCCCGGTTCTTGTGGTGCTCCCCTCCTCCCCTTGCCCCAAGCCCATAGCTCCCCCAGGGTGTGTCTGGGGTAGGGTTGCGTGCGAGGATCTGGGCCAGGCTCCTGCTGTGGAGGTTTCTGCCAGGCTGGGAGCAGGAGCACCCAGGTAAGCCAGGGCGTAGCTGCTCCTGTACTGACATGCTGGGTGCTCCCAGCCAAGCCTTCCCCAGCCGGCTACTTGGTACTGAAAGCCTTGGGCCCTCTGTGGAGGGGGGCAGGCTGAGGCAAGAGTCCCATTCTGCCCCCCACCCCATACTGGCTTTGCAAAGGATGGGGCTGGCTCCCCATCTTATGCAGCTTGTGCATAACCCTTGCACTACTTGGGAAAGTAGAAGATCCTTAAAGCCAGACAGAGAATGCTGTTTGCTGAAATGAAGCTTTGGTTGCTGACAGTAAGCCCAAGATGAAAAGTCTCTGATTACCTGCTTTGTGCAGTTAAAACATGGGAGAGGCTGCTTGTTTGTTTGTTTTATCTGTGAAGATGTGTGATCCTGCATTCTTGGAGTGCAGAGGAAATCCAGAGAGACAGGAGAGACAGTAGGTTTAGAGGAGATGTGCATGGGGCTGGGGCAGGTCCCCAGCTCAGGAAGATGTCCTCTGCTTTAGGGGAGCTGAGAATTGCTTTTATGGAGTATTCCATAAACACAACCCGAGGCACAGCAGTGAGACCCTGATGCCAGGCAATATGTGGTCCAAGCACACGGGTACATAAGCCTGGAGGACAGTTTCTGGCTCTGACAGTGTTCTTTTTCCTTTTAGTGTAACATGCCATACTCTGTAGACTGATACTTCCAGATTTCACAGGAGGGGATGACTTTGCAGGTGATCTAAACAGAATGAAAGATTATACAGTGTAGGTTGAAAGGTGTTCCCATTGCTTGCAGTGCAAAGATCTGATCCAGTTCCCGCTCGGAGGCTCCTGACAAATAGAGGCCCACAGCCAGATCCCCGGCTTGCTGGCTCTGTCACTGGCTAGTTGGATGTTCAAGCAAGTCCTGACTTCTCTGTACCTAAGTCTTTCCCTTTGTAAACGTTTATCAGCCTGAATTGGAATCAGGAAGCCCTGGTCCGTATAGGAGAGCTGCTGCACTCCATGGACATTGTTGGGACACGTGACATCCCTTCCATCTCTGGCACCACATTCACGCTCTCCTGATGATGGCTGGCTGGGATGACTGTCATCCGTGTGACTTTGATCGTTAAGATTTTATTGTCTTCCCTGTTGGCTTTCTCTCATTCTGGTCAGTGTTTCTCCTCCCATAGTTCTCCTTGACTTTCATCTTCCAGATTTCATCCTCATGGCGCAGGGCGTCCACATGCATGCTTCCAGGATCCAGTGGGCCCTGGTGATGTGCTTTCTGTGCTACTTTGGCACCTTTGCAGTGGAGTTCAGGCACTACAGATTTGAGATCATTTGCTCTGAGTACCAGGAAAACTTTCTGAGCTTTTCCGAAAGCTTATCGGAAGCCTCCGAGTACCAGACAGATCAGGTGTAGCCTGACCTCTGGCAGGGGGGAGGGGGGCAGGTGTGGTCTCATGGGTTAAACATGACCTCATTTACACTTTTTTGATGAGTTTGTTTTCATGTGCAATCATGATCGTATTGCCAAAGGGCTCTGAGGGTGGCTATCTCATTAAGAGCCAAACAAAAATAGCTGTCTGCTGAAAGCAGAGTGGATCTTTCTCAGCAGCAGCAGGAGAGAGCACAAGCTGTTTAGTTTGTGCTACCAGTGACTCTTTCTGAGTGGCTCTGTCACACTCCTGTTGTTCAAAACATTCAACAGCTAGTCCTCGCAATGCCCCTCCAAGACAGGCACTCCTCAACTTGTTCTGCAGAGAAGGAGATGAAGGAAACGGACTTCGGGCACCAAGAGCCTTCAGGAGTTGCTGGTTCCCGATTCACCAGACTGCATCTTTCGTGTGTTTCTTGCATTGTTTTCTTTGCTGCCAACTGATGTAACTTGGTAGGGTGAGAAAGTACAGCTGTTTCTTCTGGACTTGGAATCAGGCAGCAGAAGACCCCAACTGAACTGGCTTTTATGGCAAGCAGGCAGGCATTTCTTCCAGCAGCTGACGGCAAAGCCGGGTTTGGGAAAAACTGTGCTGTGATCAGGAAGTGAGACTTGGCCGATGCTGCCTTGTAGCTGGGCAGACTGTCCCCAGGCCAGAGGAGATGGCACAGTGTGGTGCAGTGCTCGGCTTCATGTTTCAGACTCAACGGTGGGGACTGGTGGAAGCGAGGTGCTGAATTAAGATGGGAATGCCTCTGTGCTGTGAAGATGACCCAGAAAAGGCTGCTCTTTGTAAGTGTGTAGTGCTTCCACCACATATCGTGTGTAATACTTCAAAAGATTTTTTTGTTCTCTGAGAGGGAGAACACTGTATTAGAGACACTGGGCTTGCCTGCAATGAGAACAGAACTGTTGCAGGTGGTTCTGGGCATAGGGTTTGGTTTTGCTCCTTGTGCACTTAGAAGTCAAACTTCAGACAGGCTGACACTAGACATGGGCTCCGGACACCTTAGTGTGGCCAGTTGTCCTGAGTGGAGTCTGCCACAGGTTTAAGCGGGCTTCCAAGGTGCAGGGAGGCAGTTCTGCCCTGGAGGTTGGGTGATGTGGCCTGAGGTGCAGGAAGGGAACAGCAAAACCAGAAGAGCTTCTCCCTCCCCGAAGGGAGGTTTTTCAAACAGAAAAAGCAGGAGCTCAAAGCCCCTGTTTGAAAACCTGATTTTGGGAAAGCTGCTGTATGGGCTGGGCAGGGGAGCGATGGGAGTTGCTTCTCATGAACATAGCTCCTGTTTTCCTCCACAAGTCAGGCTCAGCTTAGGTTTGCATCTTGTCTGAGCTGCAGGAAAATAAGCAGAAATTAAAACAGTGGCAAAAGGCATTTGAAGGGGAACTTGTACCACACTGTGGCATTTCTGACAGAGAGGGAAAAGGCACGAGGGCATTCAGTCTTCTGCAAAGGTCAGAGGCCTCTCCTGAAAGGAGAAACAGTTGTCAAAACCAGTGTAAGTAGAAAGCTTTCAGCCAGCCCTTTACTTTATTTTCTGTGGGCCAAAATTTGTTCTCAGGCAGCTGTGTTATAAATCCAGAGCATCTCCAGCCAATGGAGGCTTGTCATTGGACTGCTGAAGGTCTCCTCCTTGTAGCTGTGTCATTAGTGGGAAGCTCTCCTGGAGGGACGTGCTAAGGGTGGCTCAAGGGCACAGCAGCTTAAGGCGCAGGGCTCCCCAGCAGCCCATCTGGGGAGCTCCTCCTGGGTGAGGGCAGGAGGGGACAACCTGGAGAAGACGCAGGTGGGGATCCTCTTACATGGGCACACACAATGCATATGGAGCACAAAATAGCAATTTGTTTTAAGGGTGTTTTACTGTAAATAGTCGACTGTGACTTTTTTTTTAAAATCAATTAATACTTTCAGTTTATCATTTTCTATTTTGTAATTTTATCAAAGGAAAAAAAAGATTATGTTTGTGATTCCCCCCCTGCTTCTCCTTTCTCTCCTTTTCCTATATGCAATCCAAACTGAACTTCAGGTTTTTGGTGATAACTCTGTACATTTCTTAGAGTATTTCTAACAGCACATTTCAGTACAACTAAATGACAACTGATATACACTGAAACATGACCACTAAATAAAGTGCTTTTATGGAGAAAGTGAGTTTTATTTTTGTCCCCTACTCCATGCATAGCTTTCTGATGGCAAAGGCAAAACAAAAGGTGAGTATTTACAGTGTCATGATTAAAATTAACACTTAAGGAAGCCAGGGACTATTCAGCCATGCAGATACACTTATTGTAACAGTGCTAATTAGCAGGCTTTTTCTAGGAGGAGGATCACACTCATTACACAACCCAGAAGGGCATCCAGACTAGCTGCCTCACAGCCTTACCTGCTACCATCAAAGTTTTAGAAGGGCAATGCGGGCATGATGTGGTTTCCTCCCAAAATGCCTGTCTCTTGCTTGTTCTCTATACAGCAGCCTCCCTCAACAGGGACAGCTGTAGGTAGATCAGAACTCAGGAAGGCAACACGCGCATTAGTATTGTATTTTGGCCGTCCGTGAGCAGCCACGCAGAAATGAGTAAGTAGGAAGTGACACCCATGCATGAAGTGCAAGCAGCAGGGAACTGGGGTTTCTGACTGCCTCTACCTCCACTATTAGTAGGTATAACCTAGCTGTGGCTTTCACTCCTGCACCCCCACTGAGCCCCTACTGAAATCGTAAGACAGGCAGGGAGGTAATACAGCTTCCTTGGTAGGACAGAGTTGTCTGCCTTAAAGAAAGGACTGTGGAGGGCGAAAGCAGGAAAACAAAGTGTTCACAGGTTTAAAAAAAAGAGATTTGGCTTTAGGTGCTGAGATCACTGGTGATAGGCAGGAAGGCTAAATACTGGGATGGAGTGAACACAATGAAAGCAAAGTTGTGTTTTTATTTACTACATTAGGAAAAGCTCCATGACCATCTGATATAAATTGGCACAATTTAGGTAGGATGGGTGAAAAGGTCAGGGTTTTAATTCTCATTAAATGCAGCAGGATGTGTCCCTCAGGAGCAGTTGTTTGTCAAGGTTTGCTCACAGCTGACCAGCGCTATGAACGGGTGACAGGGTGATGTTGGCTACTGAGAAGGAGCTCCATGGGTTAGTGCTAAGGGAGATGCTTCAGAAACGCAGTCAAGCTGACTTTAGTGTTCACCCAGTTGGATCCCATAGCCCAGCACCACGATGCAGCAGTGAGGTGGGTCTAGAATTTAATTTTTAAAGCTATATTCATGTATACTCTACTTCATTCTGGTAGGCTGGCTGTGTAGCTCTAAGCAGCTTCCATAGGCAAGTTGTACTGGTTTGTACATAGAGCTGCTGTGGATATAGCCAAGGTTTAAGTTGTTCCTGGTCTAAAGAGCTTGCCTGCAGCAAGGGCTGGCTTTTTCTATGGCAGCCCAAACCTACTGTATTATAGCCCACATTTGGTATTTTCCTTTGGGCATCCTAACCGCCTAACTTTGAAAGTTTTGACTTAGCCAGCAACCCCATCTGCAGGTAGAAGCTCATATCCCCTCACGGTCCCTGGAGGTCCTTCTGGGACAGGGGCACGTACACTTCGTTTGCAGACTGTTTCTAAAAACGACGGAGCTCGTGGTGGGGGTCTGAAGGAAGCACCCCCTAAGCTAATTGCTAGCTGGAAAAGGGGCGGAACCGCAGGGCTCATGCGTGCTGCTCCTCACTCTGTTCCCAGCTCCAGCTGGCTGCTGCAGGCCTCCGTCCTAGTGCATGAGGGAGCCCACACCATACTCCCCATCCGTAACTGCCTGCATTAGTCATGGGTCCAAGACATGATGTGGGTTTGGTTTTAAATTCTGATTATGGACAAAATTACCTAATGTTATACAAGGACAATTCAGGTGAAGCACAGTCTTTTGTGCGTGCACCGCTTTCCCTAAGTGGAGGAAGGCAGGAAAAGTTCGGTGAAAGATGAGATGAGGCTGTAATACGATTTCTCATCGTCCGTCAGTCCTGCGTTGCCTGGTCTGATCACCACAGCCACATGAGTATCCGCTTCCTCGGCCGCGTTGGCTTCTGAAACAAACAGAGGTGGAGAGAGTGGAGATGAGGTGTGCTTACCGACCTCTCTACATGAAGGTCTTTAAGGCTTGAAGACGCCCCAAAACACTGAAGTGCTTTTAAAGGATGAGACTGAGAGAGCAGCGTTTGCATGTGGCGCTGCAGGGCTCTACAGAGGGACCAGCTCCTGACAGACCTGCTGTGGATGACTCTAGCTGCCACGTAATGTGAGCGGACGGGAGATGGCTGCCTCACCGTCTCCTTCCCACTCCCAGCTGATGGCTGTCCAAGGCACTATGCAGGCAGCACACACCGGCAGCTCAATTCCTGTCACGAAGCTGGGCTGTGGTTGGGCTGTGGCATTAACGAGTCCAACACCCCCTGCCAGGGTGTTGGAACTTCTCACAAGCTTCTTTTGCTCCCCAAGCACAGCAAGAGTCCACAGGAAGACGATACAGGGAAAAGGACGTAACTGCAAGGTCTCACCAACTCTGCTGCCAGGGCTGGGGAAGAGGTAAGGGCTAACTCCTGGGGACTGAGCTGACTTAGACTGAGACAGTGCCATTTCTGCCAGAAAGACAGTTCCAGCAAAGGCAGGAAATTAAATTAGCTTCCTGAGCCTGGCTTTCCAGGGGTCAAGTCTTGGCTACCAAGAGCAATGTTTTCCTGCTGCTGAACTCAACCTAACGGTAAGTGGCACAAAGAACCAGCCACTGTGCGTGCCATGTAGCAGCACAGCAGACATCATCTGTTGCCCCAAGCATGGCTCATGAAAACTACTGACCCTGTTTGTAAATGGGGCATGCCAACTGCTTCAGCAAACGCTCCACTCCGCTTTAACAGCTTCTCCTTGCTTGCTGGTGCAAGGGCAGGTTTTCTACTTGACCTATTTTCCCTCATTGCAGCGCTGCTCACAGATACCCCGCTGCTGTGTGAGAGCCTGCATGTGTAAGGAAGGAGCATGGCAGCAGGTAGGGGATGCCACCAAAGCAAGGTGGTCTGCAGCATTTCTGGGGTGCTTGTGACAAGTCAGCAGCACGCATTTAAAGAACACCTGCCTCCCTCGCACAGGCGAGAGCCAGCAGGACTGGCAGGCCACCTACCTCGAGGGACATCTGTCAGGAAGAGGATGTTGTTGGTGGCACACCCAATACTGGCAGCAATCCTTCTGTAGCTCTCACTTTCTACCTTGGGGCCTATTTTGGTATCAAAGTGGCCGTCAAAGAGCTGAAAGACAGAGAAAAGCAAAGGCGGTTGCTGAGTGCCACCTGAAGAGCAGGGCTAAACCTCACTCCTGAGCAAGACGTCCTCCTTCCTTTCTACCACAGTAATGGGGGGCTGATGCAGCCATGCTAGCGTACTCAGCTGGCTGAGCTTAACTCCCGCGGGTCAAATCCACTGCCCCACCTTCCTGTCCCAGACTATTCACAAAGAGTTACAGCAAGGGCAGTTGTGGGAGGGAAGTGCTCTGGAGAGGGAGAAGCTGTAAGGAAGGTGATAAGGTTATCTACCTCTAGGATATCACCTTCTGTAGAGTGTCCGAACAGAAGCTTCTGGGCTTCAATGCTGCCCGAGGAGTAGATATAGACCTTCATCCCCGCTTCCCGCCACTTCCGGATGGCTGGAACCACGTCCTCGAAGATTCTGGAGCAAAACAGGGCAGCAGGTAAGGGCAAACCCAGAGGCACCTGGATGGAGACCTTTAGCCAGGCACTGTGACAACTGTCCCATTAGTTTGTAAGGGGACTTCATTTTCAACCTGCTCAGGGCTTCTGCAACTAAGGAGTCTCTTTCAGCAGCAGGTGATATATCATTAGCTTCAGCCAACTGAGCAGTTCATTGACTGCTATGCAGACAGCAGCTCTGATGAGCTGTTTCAGACATTTGGCAGGAGTTTCTCCAGCCCCTTCAATTTGGAGAGGGGAGGAAAGGTTGGGGAAAGTAGCATCCTGCCGCTTTTCTCTGCGAGGGAGGAATAAGGGGGAGGACAGAGAAGACAGGCTTCTGCATCCTGAGTCCCACCTGCCTTGCAAGCTACAAAGGTTTCCCTGTTGGTAAGAGCTATGGCTGTAAGCTGCAGCCATATGGGCAAACCCATCCCACAGGTTCAGGCTCTGACCATGTGTAGGGAGGAGCTGAGAGGAGATTGCAGCTGCAGAAGCTAAATGAGTGGCACTGTACGAACTGTTTGAAGCCACAAAACAACTTGGGAAAGGAGTGTCCCCTAAGGGACTGAGGTCAGAGCTACTCTATTCAGCAACTCAGGTTGTACAGTACTACCTGTGGGCCAGATGTGTCCCTGGCTTAACTGCACCGCAGAGGGTGAACCAGCTCCCATTCACTAGGCAGCAGCATCCCTCCCCTTATCCTTCTGGCCTTGCAAAGTGCTGGGAAGGCAAGATATCAGTCTAGCAATGGGCTGACCAGTCTCAAAATGTGAGTTCTGTCTAACTCCCAGGTAGTAGCCGCCCAAAGACAAGCCCCGCAGCGGGGAGCAAAGCTGTGAGAGAGGGAAGGAAGACCAAAGCCAAGGCAACTGCTGCATAACTGCTAACGGATATGTCTGTCAGTTCCCTCATACTATTCTCATTTATACCACAAGATCTCTCGAGTGCTGCACTTACATGTATGTAAAAGCTCTTTGTATGCAAAGGATATTTACAAGATGACCCATGTACTGAGGGAAACTGAAGGCTAGAGGATGCTCAAGAGGGACAAAGTGAGGCTGACAATAAGTCCCTCAATAATACACGTAATGGTTGATAAGGAAAGGCCACAAACAGCCTCGGAAGGGCAGGGAGGGGGTTTGAGTTTGATATGGTAGAAGGATGGAGAGAGAAGCTGGAGGAGATGTGATTCCCAGGGAACCAAGTTTTCATCCCAGTCCAAATCGCAGCCTTCCCACCTGCACTGCACAGCTCTGTGTGGCCACTTGGGCCAAGGCCCAAAGGTACTGCCCCGAAAAGGAGATCTGAGCACCTGAATGCCTGAAGAAAGAGGACTCCAAATAGATGCAAAAGGAGGTGCTGGACTGAGTTTTGCAGACTTGTAGCAATCAGCTGGCCCTTTCTTCATCTCCAGTTTCTTGGCCATCTGCTCAGGGCCTTGTTATGTTATGTATTTAAAAAAAAAAATTCACTTTCTTTCAGTTATTCATTGAATGTCTCTGGTGTCAGCTGAAAATATTTTGAGGTTGTATGGCACCTGCAGAAACTCCCAGCCACCCTCATGTTTTCATGTGCTGAGTTCAGCACCTGGATTTCAGGCACTGATGTGCCAGATAAAGTTGGGCAAGGGGAAGACTTTAGAGATCTCACTCCTTGGATGCTGCCAAGCAGCAAGGGTAACTCCACAGTTTTTGGAACACTATAAAACAATTAGCCCTGTTTTTAAAAAGAAAACCAACAGGATGGCTTGCTTTTGGGTTTTGTTGCTTTCTCTGGTGGATGTTTACATTCTTCTGTGAGGTCTTTTTCTTCTTCCTCATTCTTCCTTTGGCAAAACACTTTGTGAACTAAAGGCTTTGTTTTACTTCCTTAGGAACTTGAAATACATAGTTTAACCAAGTATCTCTCGACCTAAATAAGAAGATCAGGCTTAACTCCAGTTGTCCCTACTTACGCACCCATGTGTTGTGGCTGAAACATAAAGAGGAGCCTGAAGACAAAAAGAATTGGAAAGGCAGAAAATGCTCAGGTAAGAGACAAAGCAGGAGAAAACAACTGAAAGGACCTGACCCTGCAACCCCAGCTTGTTTAGGCTTGTTCCAAAATGTGAGTGCAATTCAGGGATAAAAAATGCAACATGTAAGAAGTTCACACTTGTGCCTTAGTCTCTTAGTTTACCAAGAAATCTCTGTGGAGAAATATTGAGACATTTTCTGAATTTTTAATGCAGAAGATAGTTGTTCCAGATGAACATTCTGCTGGTCGTGGGAGCAGAATCGCCCCATGTCACGCCTCCACTACCTTGTTCTGTTTCTCAGACCCTGTCTCCTTTACAGACCCTGCCCAGGTGGCTGGAGAACTGGCTGTTCCCCAGCATGTACCTGCCAATTATTCCTGAAGAAGAAACACTTTCACCCACTTGTCATCTTCCCAGTGGGGACTGAGACAACTTGGTCAGCGCCGAGGTTACTATAAGCTTTTGGTTCCCTAGATCCAAAGAATAAGCTCAATGGATTTGTGTTTCACTGCATGATCAAGCTTGAAATGAGGTGTCTCCAGTTGGTTCCACGACAGCAGTGCCCTGGCTTAAGCCACGACTGAACGTAAACATATTGGCTTCTCCACCAAAGTAGTAATCCTACTTGCATTTGTATGTGGGGCTGTTTCCAGGAATAGCTTATGCAGCTATTCTGCTAACACATGTTTAGGAAAGATGCACCCCATACCTGCCCCAGGGAAAGGGGCACACAATTACTCACACACACAATTACTCACTCTCCTTTGACATGCCCGGTTGCATAGGCTGCCCTCCACATGTGACCCTGCAGCTGCTTCAGTGCTGTGGTCTTCCTGTCCAGAGACATCTGCCAGTGCACATTGTCTACGACCGCCTGGATGACCCGCTCCAGCTCCTCTTCCCCGCTTCCACTCTCCAAAGGGATCGGCACAACCCCATCCAAGCTGGAGTCCTCCTGAGCCTGGAAATCATCCATGATAAAAAGAGGTGAGAAAAGAGGTAGAGTGGTCTCAACATCTCAATTTAGGAAAGGGGTCTAACACCTGCATCAACGCACCTCCGTGCAGGACACAGCTTGAACTGCTCTTCACATGAAAGGTTACAACATTGTTTGAATGCTTTTCTCAATGGGAAAGTCAGACTTCAGTAGTGTCTAGAAACACTTTCTTGGATTGTACTTTCCAAACCCAACAATTAGCACTACTGTGGTTGTATTGTAAATACTCTAATGAGAATTATATTTGTTTAAGTATTTAATTACTGAAATTAAGGCAAAGAAGCAAATGCATCTGTTGGCTTCAGACAGCCACAGGTCTCAAACTGATGCCACGTCCCTGTACACTGTGGGACAAGTACTCTGCCATCCCTCCATGCTGCTTCCCAAACAGGTGCCTGGAAGCCGCAGGCGGTGGATTCAGCAAGAGAAGGGCACAGTGCAGGCACGAAGCTGAAAAGCCGTGGTTCGATGCCCACTTGGGGGCCATGAAGACCAAGGTGAGCTGAGGGAAGCAGCTGAGCTGCTGCCTGCCAAGCACCAGCCCCTCCACGAGCACAACTCCCGGCTTTGGGTGCAGGAGAATCAGCCCATTGACGCAACCAGCCTCCATGGGGGACAAAGAGAGGTATGGGCTCATGTTGGGTGACTGGGGGAGTCCATGTGACCTGAAGTCTCAGGTATGCTGTGAAAACCTGGAGAGACTCGGTGTAGCTCTGTTACTTAACCTGTTTCCTCAGAAGTCCAACGTCCCGCTGGCACTCCTCCTCCTCCCAGTGAGCGCGCAGATACTCCTTCACGTTGTCTTTGATGTAAGGGAACAAGGTCTCCTGGCAGCACACAAGAAAAACAGGCAGCTCCTTTAACCTGGCAGAGGTAAGGCTGACTTGCTTTTAAAGCAACCGTTTGCACATGCTGGTGTGTACAGTTATTTTCCCTGCTGCAGCCTCCCCTACAGTACTGCAGCTTGTGAAACTGCCTCTCAAGGCTGTCTGCCTGGTCACAGGCCAGAGCCAACCTTGGGCCAAGATTAGTGCAAGTGGATTTTTTGCACAAATGCTTATGTAGCTGCAACTTTTAAATCCCAGGATGGAAAGGTGGGTGATAACTTTTCCTGGGCTTGCCAAAAAATGTCTCAAATGGCAGACATGACCCCAAGTTCCCATCAGCTGAGGAGTACAAGGCTGACTGTGTATGTACTCTGAACTGACAAGTTATACTACTCTATTTTTAATGGGGCACTTGTCCTAACGAAGGTTGTTCTGAAAACACATCTCAACTTCTCACCGGAGCTAGAGGACCTTTTTAAAAAGGAAAGTCTAGTCCAGTGACACTGAGCTCCATAGGACAGTCTCACAAATGAAATGAAACAGGGTTAGGGAGAGGTGCCAGAGGAGAATGACAAACCTTCCCGGAGATCCCAAGGGCAATCAAAAATAATTATGAATTTGCTCTTATTAGTGGTGTTTCACAACTGAGAAGCCACAAGCAGTTGCCATGATGACATCTCTGGGTGTGGGAAGAGCCTCAGGACAACAGGAAGGGCAAGGAGCTCCTTCCATTGGGAACAGAACCAAGTTTTTCTTAACTGGGAAAAATTTGGGATGGGAAAGAGATGGGAGGAAACTAACCTGAGCTCATCTCTCCTCAAAAAATGGCCAGTGATATTTTTCTTCTCACTGTATGTCACCTTTAACTTGTTACTGAATTAAGAAAATGGTGGTCCTGAGAGCGTGATGTGGTGGCAGAACTGCAGGATTTTCTATTACTCCAATATTGTGTTTTCCATTTTGTATATTTTAAAAACAACTTAAATTTAGGGGAAAGGAAAATCTCTTAAATGTCTAGAAAATTGCCACAAACTTGTCCAGGGAAATCAACAGCCTTGTAATACCCCCAGTTACTCTCTTATTTCCTTTATTTGAACTTAGTTGCTTTCAAACTATCTTTTAAATCATGAAGGAAATTGAAGAGTATCCACTGGGAAATGCCACCAACCCACTGACTTGGTTTAACTTCCTGTACAACTCAGATGTCAAAAGGTCCCAATTGCTTTCCGAGAGCAGTGTTTCATGCTCTTGTGCTGACAAAGAAAAACTTCCAAACAGGCTCTGAAACGGCAGTGTATTTTATGATTCAGTGGATTTTAAAAGGGTAAAAGCCTTGGCCCATTGGCAAATGCATTGGTCTGTGGTCCAAGAGGGGACATCCACATGATAGCTGGAGTGGTGGACAGCCAGTGGGACAGATGGTTTATGGATGTCAGGAGTGATCCCAGGCAATGATGTACTAAGTTTAAAAGGCCATGAGTTTGTGTGGAAGAAAGACTCCTTGCATCCTGCAAGGAAATACCTCCATCTCTGAGACTTCAGCTTTCAGCAGAAGTTGGTGCCTGCAAACTCTTGAATAGGTTTAACCAGGGCTTTACTGACCTTTATAAGTTCATCTGCTTCTCTTTTATCTTGGCTAGCAGGAGACCCGAGCCTGCCTGTGCACGGCTCCCATCGCTCTGTCCATCTCCCGTGCATGCCAGGGAGATGTGTGCCATCACCCCACCACACTGCCGGATGGCCAGGCTCCTCGACGACGTCCAGCCCCACATGTGGCTGCCCCAACACAGCTTGGCAGGATGGAGAAACAGCCATCAGCAAGCACAGCTCAACAGCCCTCCTAAGCCTTCGCAACTGCTCACAGCAATGTTACACCCAGTACGGAAACGGTGGTATTTTTACCATCAGTAGACACCCAAGTAGCACGCTGTAATTAGCGCCTGTAGGATTTCAAGCGACCAGGGTCAATTTTCCTCTCAATGTCCATACAAACTGTCAAAAAGTTCAGTGACAATCTGCTTTTACAGGAGAACTGGCAAATCCCAGGGGATGTAGTTTATCAAATTACATGTCTCCCCTGCCATCTACTTTTCTCTGCCAGGGTGGACCCAGCAAAAGAGAAAACTTGGTGACCTCTAACTAGGGACCACCAAATATTCTCTTTCTGGTATCTTTCCTTAATCCACCCATCAGCTGGCTCATTCTATTTCCTGACTTTGCATATTCAATAATTCTAATACTAAAGAAAGGATTAAATAAAATCCTTCAATATTAAAGAATAAAATGCCTGCAGAACCAGCAGTGGAGCTTTTAAAGGGAAATAGAAATCATGGAGGTTAACTGAAAGTCCAAGTGAATTAACTTGTTTCAAGCATTTTCAGGATTTCCAGCAAACTGGGTTTTATTGAAAACCTAACTCATTTGGCCTCCCTGCAACAGAAGGACTTTGGGTAGGAAATTGTCTCAGGCTTATTGCATGTTATTTGCATGACAGCAAAATGGATTCAAGGTGGATATAACCAACTTCGTTGCTGTGTTAGATGTTTAGTAAGAAATCTGAGCTGTTCAAACTGTTTAAATTGAAAGATATCGAGGGGAGGGAGGCTGCTGTAATGCCATCTAGACCTGAAGTTTCTTCAAGAGCACTGGAAGAACATGGACAGGAAAGATGTAGGTCATGTTGTTCATCTGTTAAACTGTGTTAGCAGAAACACCTAGAAGGCCTGGCAAGAGCCTTCAACCCACCGCACATCATGTGGGTCACAAAGCACCTTCTTAAACTACTGGCAAAAAAGATCCACCAAAAGCTATAATGTCTTATGGAGAAATACAGGTTAATGGCAGGAGCAGGGATAATTCCATTCGGTGTCTTAAATACAAGCAAATTGCTCCCTCCTGTGAAGCACACAAGCCTGGTTAGGGACCAAAACCTCTCGGAGAGGAGGGACCTGCAGTAGTTGGAGAACTGCAAATTTTAATAGCATATTTACAGCGTTAATCCCAATGCCTGCTGCTGGCCTTGCAGACTTCCTGGTCTCCTGGCTTCTGCACCTAAACCGACATTTTCAATAGTCTTAAGCCTTCTCCTAGGCCAGGGAAGGCACTCATACATATTCGCTGTTAGTACAATCCTCCTCATGTACTCTTGATGCGCTCTCTGCGCTCCCCTCCCCTTGTACTGGTCCTGTGCATGCTGGAGGAAGGACATACACCTCTGGTGACACGGGAGGCATCTGACTGTACCACCCGTTTGAAGAGAAAAGGCAGCAGATAACCCTGAGAGAGTACTTCAGTCTCTCTGCAAACTCGGGTGATGTGCTGGAGCTCCAGCCATCCGAGCAACAGTGATGCTCGAGGGCTTTTCCTAAATGAGGCTGAGAGCACTCCAACTGCCCTATATCCATGAAAAAAAATCATCTACTGAACTGCCCTGGATCTGAATAGTTCCCTGTTCCCCTGCCCACAAAAGAGGCAGGCAATCAGTAAAACGAGACTTATTTTCTCGTGAGCAATATCCAGAAAAACACAGAAAATGTGTCACGGTTTTACGCTTCTGGAGGAAACTCAGGCCTGCCCTCCGCAGGACTACAGCCCCGGGAGAGGCGCTTCCCCTCCCCCCGCAGGGGGGCCGTGCCAGCGAGGGGGACTTGCAGTCACAGAAATCTGGCCGGCGCAGCGTGCCCCCCCAGCTGCCAGAGCTGGGGGGATCATGATAGTAACGGCGATGCTAACG